CTTCCAACCATAAAGTCAAATTTTAAAGGATCAAATATAGTAGAAATTTTTTCTTCATGGTTTTTGAGGGAAGCAGAGGACAGGGTTACATTGCACAATATGGTAAAAACCCTTTTTAAAATTTCTAAGTATGTTTTCCCATGGCAGTTGCTTCAACCTCTGGGATAAAGCAGAATAAACCTAGTTTCTGTCAATGTTGTTATGTTTCACTTGTTTACTCTCATTTTCTTTCTTTCTTTGTTTTTTTTTAAAAACCTTCTCTTATCGTCTTTGGCCAAAATTTAGTCCCTCTGTCCCTTCCCATTTTCTATATTCTATTAGCATTGTACTGTATTGTTTTTTAATTTTTAGACCACAATTTTATCTTTGTGTTGTTTTGTTTAATATTAATAGACAATTTTAGAGAAATTTTATATTTTATATTTGTAGAAAAATTGAGCAGAAAGTACTGAGTTCCCATTAACCCATTTTCTTTGCACAAAGTTCTCTCTCCTAATATTTTGTGTAAGCATGATACATTTGTTATGATCAATGAAGCAATTTTAATATATTATTGTTAATTAAAGTCCATAGCTTACATAGGATACCTTTCTGTGTTGGAGAGTTCTCTGGATTTTGATAAACATATATTGAAATATATCCACCATTATAGTATCACCCAGAATGGTTCCAGTGCCCTAAAATTCCCTGTTTTCTACCTATCTATTCATCTCTCGCTCTCCATTCACTTGAGTCTCTGGCAACCCCTAATCTTTTTATTAAATTTTCAAGAAGGTAGCATGTTTGGAATTATATTTATAGTCTTTCTTTTAATATACATTTACAGTTCTTCCATGTCTTTTCATAGTTTGATAACTCATTTTGTTTCATTTCTGTGCTGTTTGATAGTATTTTTGCATTTGTGTTTACCAGGGATATTGGCTTGTAATTTAGTAAAATACTGTAAAACAGTATTCTCTTTTTGTAATGAACTTCTCTGGTTTTGATATCAGAATAAGGCTGATAATTTGGAAGTATTCCCACCTCTTCAATATTTTGGAAGACTTTGAGAAGGATTATATTTGTTCTTTAAAATTTGAGTAGAATTAGTCTGTGAAATTATTATGTCCTAACTTTTCTTTGATGGAAGATTTTCTTACTCATTAATTGGTCAATATTCTACTTCTACATGATTCAGTCATAGTAGGTGTATAAAGATTATTCATTCTTTTCAGATTATCCAACTTTTAGGCATATAATTATTCATAGTAGTCTTTTAGGATCCTAGGTATTTTTGTGGTAACAGTTATAGTGTTTCCTCTTTCTTTTTTGATGATATTTGAGTCTTCTTTTTCCTAGTTAAGTTTTATTAATTTTGTTTGTCTTTTTTTTAACAACAGCATCTCTATATCATTTATTTCTGTGCTGATCTTTTATTTTCTTCCTTTTATGACTTTGGGCTTAGTTCTTTTTTTAATTATTTGAGTTATAATGATGGTTTATGTGAGATCTTTTTCTTTTTTATGTAAGCTTTTATTTTACTAAAGCTTTCCTCTTAGTACTAGTTTTTCTATATTTCATTAGTTTTGGTATATTGTATTTCCATTTTTGTTTGAAGATTTTAAAAATTTTTCCTTTGAAATTTCTTTTTGAATCATTATTCAGGAGAGTAGTGTTTAATTTCCACATTTGTGGATTTTTTAGTTTTTCTTCCATTATTGATATCTAGTTTCATATCATTGTGGTTCAGAAATATTTATGTTTTGATTTTAATCCTCTTAAATTTACTGAGACTTATTCAAGCATGGTGGCACACACTTGTAGTTCTAGCATTTGGGAGGCTGAGGTGGGAGTATCATTTGATCCCAGGAGTTTGAAAGCAGCGTGGACAACATAGTAAAATCCATCTCAAAACAAACTTTTTAATTAAAATTTGATTTATGACCTAACATATGTTCTATTCAGAAGACGTTTCATGTCCACTTGAGAGCAGTGTTTTTGGTTGGAATGTTCTGAATATATATCTGTTAGGTCCATTGGGTCTAAAATGCATTTCAAGTCCAGGTCTTCTTTATTGATTTGGTGTCTGGGTGATCTGTCCATTGCTGAAAGTGGAGTATCGAGAAGGAAATTGAAAACGGTGAACTAGAAGAATCCACCGTAAATATAGTAGATGCTCCCTCAGACTGAATCAAAACAGCAGTTTTGCAGCTGCCTATTGAGGTAGGAAGACTGTGGAAAAGCACTAGAATGAAACTCAAGAGAGCCAGCAATCAGGTGAAACCAAGAAAAATTGGTTTTTGGAATATTTTTAAAAGTACACTGCACTCACATTGGACATGTAGTTGTTCACTGGGGAAGGAAAAATGCCCCTCCAAAAAGCTGAAAGAAGGTTTTCCAACTATCTTAAGGAAAGAGGCTCTCTTGTGTCTAGACCCACAATCTGAACAGAAAAAGGAATTGAGATACTGCAAAGTGACCTGGCCTGGAAGAGATCCTAGCACTTCCCAATGGATTTAGTGAAAGTAGGGAAAGTGTAACCAACTTAAAAAGGATCATTGTTTTAAACTTTCTGCAAAGGAAGTTAAAAATCCCTAAAGTTTTTCTTTTTGCTTCCTTTGTCTATTTTTTTCTTGTTCTTTGTTTTCTTTCTTTTTGTGTACTCAAGATCCAACAACCATTTATGCTTTGCTTCTCATTGGATTGGTGGACACAAACCCATCAGTCATTTGGAGCTCAAGAGTGAGACTGGCACAAGATTGAGGGAAGCTCTGGGCACCAATGGGAGCTCAGCTGCTGATCTGCAGATTTTTAGGACATAGAAAGGTAGAAGGCGCTTTCATGTGAAATTGGTCTGAATAATATGAAGTCTGTGATAAGGAGCAAGGCTGACAGGGATTAGAAATGGTTCAGGTCTGGGTTGGGTGAAAAGCTGCTACCGGCAGCATCTGACTGTGGGACTGGCCATGTCCTCCATTTCCAGAAATGTCCGGGAGATCTGCTAATAAAACTTGAACATTTCTCACTGACCTCCCTCCAGCACATGAACTGAGGCTTTTAGAATGAGAGGTGTGGTGTAATCTGCATCAGATTTTAGGCTACCTGGGTGAGAGGGCTGGCCACCATCTCCTACTAAAGGTACACCCTTATCTCCAGGTATAAAATCACAGTGAAATTGAGGGTGAATTCTGCTCTGAAATGGATAGTGCTTTTCCAACAGTTGCAGGCAGGGAAGGAAGAGCAAAACTCAACATACAGAATTCCCTACCAAGTTTGCTTCTTTGGGGTCAGAGGTGAGAATGAACAGTATGATAATTATGTCCCACAAACTTCCTCATAGCTGGGAGACTCTAAATTGAAGCCCCAGAAAGAAGTGTTTACAATTTAAATACTGCAGCAAAGAGAAAACCAAATTGGTTATTGTTGCATTAACTATTTCTGTAATGTTTTTTATTGTGTCATCCTTCTTTATTTGTTTTTTCATTGTTCTGATTTTATGTATTTTTTTCAATTAATTGGATTTTTTCTTGATACCTCTTTTCTTCTTTCTTACCTCCATTCCCTTCTCTTTTATCTTTCTTTCTGTTTTCTTTTCTCCTCTTCTTCCAGTATCATTTATTATTAAGTGCACTGTCATTAATGCTTAACTTTTCAGCCTAATTTATATTTTTTTGACACACTATTCTCATTGGTTAATAGAATTGTACAAAAAACTAGTAATATTCAATATATGTAGATATATGGTTTGCTTTCAGTTAGTGATTTTGGTGATTACTTTCCTCACAAAGCAGTGCTGGTTGTTGAACTTACACTTTGATTACACTGATTGGATGTTTTGATGCTAAAATATATTCCTCAATCAGGGCATATTTTTAAGGGATAACTACTAAAATACCCTCACATACTAGAGGAAGAGTAATCTTTCACAAGAGATGTGCAAACAACATATAACCTCTGAAAACATGAGAAAACAAGGAAGTATCCTCCAGAAGTTTATAATCATCTAATAATTGACTCCACGGATATTGTAGTGGATCAAAATCTGTTCAATCAACTTTTTAGTTGATTATTAAAATGATCAATGAATTAAAAGAAGATGTAAGAAATGAACCAAGAAGATGTAAGAAATGAACAATGAAGAATATATAACATTTCAATATAAATATATAGAGAGATGGAAGGACTTAATCATTCAGATAATATTAAAGAATAAATAATAATATATTATGATTAGAATATTCAAGAACTCTGGGAAAACATGAAGAGACCAAACTTAAGAATCATTGGCATTGAGGAAGGAGAAAATATACAGGCTAATGGCATTAATAATCTGTTCAGTGAAGTGATAGCAGAAAAAATTGAAAACCTTGTGATTGAGATATACAAGACCAGAAAAAGAGGCTCTCCAAATACATTATAAATAAAATGCCAAAAATCTAGGAAAAAATTTAAAAACTTTCGAAATTGCAAGAAAGAAATGACAGGTCACATTTAAAGGAAAATCAACCAGAACAACAGCAGATTTCTCAGAAGAATCCTTAGTCTAGGAGGGCTTTGAGCAATGTGTTCCAAGCCCTAAAAGAAAACTGCCAGCCAGAATTTCTGTATTCAGTAAAGCTATTCTCAGAGTCAAAGGAGATGTAAAAAGCTTCCAAGATAAGCATAAACTAGCAGAATTTATGACTACTAAAATAGTCATGCAGAAGATACTTAAAGGAACCCTACATACAGAAGAAAATAAGAATAACCAAGAGCACTTAAGGAAGAAAAACTGTCATTAGAAGAGTAGATAAGCAAGTGAGAAATAGTATTGAAGCAGACATTAAAAATAAATCAAAATGGCAAGATAATAAGTATCTCTCTATAATAATACTGAATTTAAATGATTATTCTTTTTCTATTACCTTGGAAGAGGAGACTCGTGACTGGCATGACCCTAAATTAGTAGACAGACACTTCCACTCATAGAAGCCCCCACCCACTAATCTTCATGGAGCCTGTGACAGGGTTTTAAACAACAGATGGTCACAAACGCAGTCCAGACGTGAGAAAATCCAAGTCCCTCTGTGCGCAGAACCTGACCAGCTGAACAGCAGCTCTCCGCAAATGGGCGAATTGAGCACTGCGGAATTCTGGCAGTATAGAGAAGCAGAATTTCAGATCCTGTGAAGATGTGCCACCCACGTCTCCACAGGGTACCGGTCGGAGGACTGAAATTGGGACTTAACGGAGAAACAGCCCAGTTCTCTCCTCCTCACCAGATACCCCAGCGCAGAAACGGGAGGTCACCATCTTGGAGAATCTACCTCATAAGTTTTGGGCAGATCACATGGCAGCGAGATTGATGACAGATCAGGAGTGTGAGCCCCAGCCCCCTCCCTCCACCCAGCTGGGATAACTCAAAAACTTTCTCACCAGCTCTCAGTAGGCATGAAAATCAGAGCCGAGGAAAACTGAAAAGGCACCTGATCTCCAATTCCCCCTTTCCCCAGCTGTGAACACCAAAACCTTTCTCACCAGCTCTCGGTGGGCGTGGCTATTGGAGGGAATAAGTCAGAATAGGTTGTCAGTTTCCAACTCCCTCTCTCCACAGCTGTGATGACTGGGTGACTACCAAACAAAGAGAGCGCTCAGTTGATCAAGAGTGCAGGGCGGCCAGGGTGCCCCATGCCCAGAGTGAAACTAGAGCTGTGGAGAAGAGCCCCAGTAATTGTGGCCTAGCGGGCAGGAGAAGTGAGGGGAGTAGAGACTGGGAGCAACCCAAAGTGACCGGGATTGGAGAGACACCCAGCAGAGGAGGGAAAGCCACCCCACACGATTGCTTTCTACATCCTGAGGGCAGAGACAGCCTGGAAAGCGCAATGCCACATACTGGAGGAGAAGAAAATAGAACTCTTAAGAGTGAATTTTTTTTCTTCTTCCTTTTTCTTTTCTCTCTTTCTTTCTTCTTCTAGTCTTTGTTTCTTCCTCCTTCTTTTCCCCTCCCAATCTCCCAAGCATTACTACTTCTACTACATGTAATTTACTAAATGCAATTAGGTGAAGGTTTCTATGTTTTTTATAGTCCTCCTAAGTACTTAGCTATCCCAAAATACTCCTGTCTATTCTCCTGTTAATATCCCCCTTCATTAGAGCTCTCCTCCAAAGTAGCTAAAATATATTAACCCCCATATCCTTACATCTTTCCCCCTAAACATAAAGTCCTACGACCAACCCTCAGTTCTCTATACACCACCAGAATCTGTATGCCTTTTATGAAACTAATGAATTTACTTTAAATTACAATTGAACCCAACATCTCTAGACATTGTCTCCCATCACAAAGGAGAGATCTTGGAGCTATACGAAAACAACACAAATTTATAGGAGTAAATAATAACACAGCAGTCACACAGAGCTGGAAAAAAACGTGAGCATCATGAAAAAACAAGGAAAAAAAGGAACACAAACAATGAAGGACAACTCAACAATAGAGGAGTTGGTAGCCACAGCAGAGAAAATGTTAGATAAAGGTTTCAAGATATACACGTTCCAGATGATCTGGAGTCTCAAGGAAGACCTTAGATAGCAAATGCAGACAATGAAAGATCACTTTGACAATGAATTACATAAACAAATCCAAGAAGCAAAAGAGCAACTCTACAGGAAAATAGAGGTTATACCAAAAAAATCAAACAGAAATCCTGGAAATGAAGGAAATTATAAACCAAATTAAAAACTCAGAGTATCACCAGTAGAGTAGACCAATTAGAAGTCAGAACATCAGACAACGAAGACAAAATATATCATCTCGAAGAGTCTAGTCAACTCAGAAAGGCTGATAAGAAACCACAAGTAGAACATCCAAGAGATTTGGGATAACAAAAAAAAAACCAAACTTAAGAGTCATTGGGATAGAGGAAGGTATAGAGATACAAACCAAAGGAATGAGCAATCTGTTCAATGAAATAATTTTAGAAAAGTTTCCAGACATAAAGAATGAAATGGAAATCCAAATCCTAAAAGCCTACAGGACACCGAATGTCCAAAATCACATAAGATCCACACCAAGACAAATTATAATGAAAATGTCCAACATACAGAACAAGGAGAGAATTTTAAAAGCCACAAGAGAAAGGAGGCAGATTACATTTAGGGGTAAACCAATTAGGTTAATGGCTGATCTTTCAACACAGACTCTGAAAGCTAGAAGATCCTGGAACAACATATTTCAAACACTGAAAGATAATGGGTTCCAATCAAGAATCTTGTATCCAGCAAAATTAAGCTTCAGGTTTGAAGATGAAATTAAAACCTTCCACGATAAACAAAAGTTAAAAGAATTCACAGCTAGCAAAACAGCACTGCAAAGCATTTTGGGCAAAACATTACATGAAGAAGAAATGAAAAACAACAACAAAAATCAACAGTGGGAGGTAGAGCACAGTAAAGGGAAAAACTGATCAAAGAGGAAAAACAAATCAAGTTAAATAACAAAAATAAACAAACATGGCTGGAAGTACAAATCATATCTCAATAGTAACCCTAAATGTTAAAGGCTTAAACTCACCAATCAAAAGACATAGGCTAGTAGACTGGATTAAAAAAAAAAGATCCAACAATATGCTGCCTACAGGAGACTCATCTGATAGGAAAAGACATACACAGACTGAAGGTGAAAGGTTGGGAAAAATCATACCACTCACATGGACCTCGGATGCAAGCAGGGATGTCCATACTCATATCAAATAAAATTAACTTCAAGCCAAAGTTAATCAAAAGGGATAAAGAAGGACACTATATACTGCTAAAGGGAACTATTCATCAATAAGACATAACAATCATTAATATATATTCCCCAAATAGTGGTGCAGCTATGTTCATCAAACAAACTCTTCTCAAGTTCAAGAGACAAATAGACACAATAATCATGGGTGACTTTAACACATCTCTCTTGCCACTGGACAGATCTTCCAAACAAAATTTGAATAAAGAAGCTATAGGACTCAATAACACAATTAATAACCTAGACCTAATTGACATATATAGAATATATATATGTGGATACACTTTTTTCTCAGCAGCACATGGATCCTTCTCAAAAATAGACCATATATTATGCCATAGGGCAATTCTTAACAAATATAAAGGAGCAGAGATATTACCATGAATTTTATCTGATCATAATGGAATGAAATTGGAAATCAACGATAAAATAAGGAAGAAAAATTTCTACATTACTTGGAGAATGAACAATATGCTATTGAATGAACAATGGGTTACAGAAGACATCAAAGAGGAAATTTAAAAATTCTTAGATATAAATGAAAACAGGCACAACATATCGAAATCTATGGGACACTATGAAAGCAGTACTAAGAGGAAAATTCATTGCATGGAGTTAATTCCTCAAGAAAAGAAAAAGCCAACACATAAATGATCTCACACCACATCTCAAAGCCCTAGAAAAAGAAGAGCAAATCAGCAGCAAATGCAGTAGAAGGCAAGAAATAATTAAAATCAGAGCTGAAATCAATGAAATTGAAATAAAAGAAACAATTGAAAAAATTGACAAAATTAAAAATTGTTTCTTTGAAAAAATAAATAAGATCGACAGACCCTTAGTCATGCTAACAAAGAGAAGAAGAGAGAGAACCCAAAATACTAGCATATGGGATGAAAAAGGCAATATCACAACAGACACTACAGAAATACAGAAGATAATTAGAAATTATTTTGAAACCTTATACTCCAATAAAATAGAAGATAGTGAAGGCTTCGATAAATTTCTTAAGTCATATTATCTGCCCAGATTGAGTCAGGAGAATATACACAACTTAAACAGACCAATATCAAGTGAGGAAATAGAAGAAGCCATCAAAAGATTACCAAACAAGAAAAGCCCAGGACCGGATGGATATACAGCAGAGTTTTACAAAACCTTTAAAGAAGAACTAATACCAATACTCTTCAATCTATTTCAGGAAATAGAAAAAGAGGGAGTTCTTCCAAATTAATTCTACGAGGCCAACATCACCCTGATTCCAAAACCAGACAAATATACTTCAAAGAAAGAAAACTTCAGACCAATATCAATATAGATGCAAAAATTCTCAATAAAATTCTGGCAAATCGGATACAAAAACATATCAAAAAGATGCACCATGATCAAGTGGGATTCATCCCAAGGATAAAAGTTTAGTTCAATATATGGAAATCAATAAATGTAATTCATCACATCAATAGACTCAAATGTAAGAATCATATGATCATCTCAATTAACACAGAAAAAGCACTCCTTCATGTTCAAAACACTAGAAAAACTAGGGATAACAGGAACATATCTCAACATCACAAAGGCTATCTATGCTAAGTCCCAGGCCAACATCCTTCATTTTAAATGGAGAAAAAATTGAATGCATCCCCTCTATAAATGGGACCAAGATAGGGATGCCCTCTTTCACCATGTCTATTTATTGTAGTTCTTGAAACACTGGTCAGAGCAATTAGACAAAAGTAATTAAAGGGATATGTATAGGAAAAGAAGAACTGAAATTAGCACTATTTGCTGATGATATAATTCTACACCTAGAAAACCCAAAAAATTCTACCAGAAAAAATTCAGCAAAGTAGCAGGATATAAAATCAACACTCATAAATCAAAGGCATTTCTGTATATCAGTGACAAATCCTCTGAAAGGGAAATGAGGAAACTATCTCATTTACAGTAGCCTCAAAAACAAACAAACAAAAAACCCCAAAACTTGGGATCAAGTTAATGAAAGAGGTGAAAGATCTATACAAAGAAAACTACAGAACCCTAAAGAAAGAAATCAAAGAATTCCTTAAGAAGATGGAAAGATCTACCTTGCTCTTGGATAGGCAGAATTAATATTATCAAAATAACCAAACACATTTTACATATTTAATGCAATTCCAATCAAAGTCCCAATGACATTCCTCATAGAAATAGAAAAAGCAATCATGATTCATCTGGAAAAATAAGAGACCCAGAGTAGCTAAAGCAATCCTTAGCAAGAAGATTGAAGCAGGTGGCATCACTGTACCAACCCTTAAACTATACTACAGAGCAATAATAACAAAAACATCATGATATTGGCACCAAATAGACTTGTAGATCAGTGATACAGAATAGAGGACACAGAGAATAATCCACATAATTACAGTTATCCTACATTAGTTAAAGGTGCCAAAAACATACATTGGAGAAAAGATGTCCTCTTCAACAAATGGTTCTGGGAAAACTGGAACGCCATATGCAACAAAATGAAATTAAACCTCTCTCTCTCACCATGCACAAAATTCAAAGCAGATCAAGGACCTAGGAAATAAGCCTATGTCTAATAGAAGAGAAAGTAGGCCTTAATATTCATCATGTGAGATTAGGCCCCAACTTCCTTAACAAGACTTATATAGCACAAGAATTAAAACCAAAAATCAATAAATGGGATGGATTCAAACTAAAAAGTTTCTTCTTAGCAAAAGATGCAATCTTTGAGGTGAATAGAGAACCTACATATTGGGAGCAAATTTTTATCCTTCACACATCAGATAGAGCACTAATCTCTAGAGTATATAAAGAACTCAAAAAGCTAAATACAAAAAATAAATAAATAAACAAAACAAATAAATAAATCAACCCAGTCAATAGGGCCAAGGACCTGAACAGACACTTCTCAGTAGAGGATATACAATCAATTAAGAAA